TCAGTTCATAAGAATAGAAATCACGGCGTTCTACTTAATATTTATCTGTGCCATTGGATAAAGCTATTATGTGTTACTGGTATGCTAATAAATACACATGGTTCAGCTCCCTTAGGACCTTTCCTTATGTGAATAAGAAGATGGGACTGTGTGACTTTTAGTTACCCAAGCTCCCAGCCCTGGCTTATAGTGCTTAGCATTGGTATTCATCTGGCTGTAAGATGTTCAGAAATAATAAGCCCTAACAGGGAAGGGGAGCCTTTGGGTTGACTTAGGGAGAGTACAAAAGATAGTACTTGTCAGATCAAATGTTGAGAGTCATCTCACGAAGAACATGACTCAAAGGAGTGGCACCCATTTGTCAACAGTTCTACGTGCAGGAAACCTCAGGCCTCTTTAGCATTTGATAAGGTTTCCTCAAGTTACGGGCTTCACTTCTGGTAGACACCTTTATAGAACAGAAACATCCTTGGTATTGACAGGTAACTGAAGAGTCTCTTCCCTTTGTCATAGACCAGTTCACCACCTCCGTCAAGAAGAATGTGGGAAAGGTAAGATTGTTTTTCAAGAACTTATTCTCAAAGTTGTTATTTGCTTTTCTTAGATGAGGATCTTGTAACTTCTTCTTTAGGAGGAGAATGCAAGACGCCTCAGGTTTTCTTTGCTAAACAAGAGCTTGGAAAAGTCCCTGTTGGCAACTTTGTGGGCTGTCAGACTTAACTATGGGAGATTTGAAAGCCAAGGATTACAGCTTATCTCCCCTCCAATTCCTTTCCTATGATGCTGCTTCTTCCCACTTCCATCTCTGTGTGCTCTTATAAAAGAAACCCACTGAGTCCACTTAGTACTGCCTATATGTGTATAGGTGTGGGATCATCTACTATAGCATGAAGCACCTTAATGGAGTTGAACCACGGAAGAAAAGTGATTCTCCTTACCTTGGGAGCCATCAGATGCCTAAAACTCCCCAGCTAGGGGTGGGACTCCATAAGCCCTTCTGTCATTCATGTTGGGCTTTTGGCTGGCATTATCTTGTGCAAGTCTAGTATACACAGTCACAGCTATTGTGAATTCTATGCTTGGCACAGCACTATCATGCCTGAAACTACTTTATTACCTCTACCACTACCTATGGCTATAGAAATCTTTATTTTCTGTCATAAGTGATGGTTCCCAATCTTGAGGGGAAGAACTGTGATATTGACATCGTATTAAGTAGTGGGCACTCTTTCACTGAGGGTACTTCCCTTGTGTTTCCTTAATTTGAAATTTGGGTATTTCATGGTATCCCAAAGCTTTCCTAACATCTGATTTAAAAAGTCATATTGACCTTTACTGAACAATCAATTTCTTTGGCTTTATCTTCTAGTCTTAACTTTCTGTTTTTGAAAGGATCCATTGTGTTGTTGAAGCTTTCAACTGACTTTTTATTTGACAGATTATGCTTCTCCAAGTCAGTTGTTGTCCTTTGAGTAAACTATGGTCAACTGACAGTCAGGGGAAGTTAATCTTGGGAAGCTGGTTATGTGGACAGGAGGACCATGTGGGTCACGAAGGATAGGGCCTATTAAGAGCAATGGTCAGGAAGATGCAAGAAGAGTGAGCAGTTTATAAGATGAGAAGGATGTGAGATCTTGGAGGTTCCAAGGTTTTCAGCCTGGCTATTTGGAGGTGAGACACCAGAGAAGCCAAGAGACCTATGGTATATTACAGTGAGATGCCTACCTAATGTGTAAGAAAGGAAAGGTTGCAGATGAGGATTGCTTACAGAGTGGGGAGGAACAGAGTTTCAATGGTGATTGGAGGAGGGATGTCCCAGATGAATGGAATGGGGATCATCAGTAGAATAGGGAACAGTAAGGCCAGTTCAGGAAAAGGAAGTTCTGGACATTCCTGGTTGTTGTTTGAGGAGGGCAAAGAGCAATATGGCCACATGGTGAAGGAAACAGGGAAGGACTAGAACTTCCTGGTGGTTTTAAGCAAAAAATAAGGATTTTTTCTTTTACAAATCTTAAGTACAATGTTGATAGAGTTCAACTGACCTTTTCATGCCATTAATTGCTACACTTTCTTGCCTTCAATGTGATCCACCACATCCTGAAGTCATGTACCTATTATCTTGTTTCAACCTCACAGAAATCCAAAACTCTGGATTTGTTATCTCTACCACTGCTCCATTTGGGGGGATGTGTTTAAAATTTTTTAATGTACTGTAAATGCTTTTTTGCCTCTGTTACTACAGCATTTCATGTGAATTATGACAGCCCTGACCTCAGATAACAAGTTAGAAAATCATAATAAACTGATCACACAACCAGATAGCTCTACATAGTTCTAATTTTCAACTTCATACAACCTGTAGTCTTGTGACAGGAGACCCTCAATTTTGTGAATTTCTTAGATCAAATTGGCATGTGGTCATTTATGTGGGGAATTATCTCAACCATTAATTGATATATGAGAGCCTATCCCACTATAGTTGACACCGTTCTGTGGGCAGGTGATGCTGGCTTATATAAGAAGGCTAGCTTAAACAGGAGCCTGTGAGTGAGCCACAGAATTAGCCAGAAAGTCATTCCTCTATGCTTTTGTTCCTGGATTTCCTCAGTGATGGATTTGACCTGGAAGTGGATAGCAAACAAACCTCTTCATCCACAAGTTGCTTTTGTTCAATGTTTGATCACAGCAATAGGAAAGTGACTAGAACACAGTTACTGTGTTCACTTTCTTGTAGAGTGATTTTTATTTCCTACTGATTTCTGCATAAACATCTGCTATCATCCAAAGCCCTTCATCAATGAAAAGTTAGGTAAAGTATCTGCCCTCCGATAATTCTCTTAATTAAATTACTGAAAATATAAAACACATTCTATATGCAACAACCAGTGTGGTATGATATGTAGGATTATATTACATACCTCATAGAACACAACTTTCTATTCCTTTGTAGATATTTATGTGATATAGTAGCTTCTACTTAGTCCCATTGACAGAAACACCCTTGTCTCAAATTTGCATTTCACTCCGAAGAATCTTCACAATTCAACTCAGTACATAATTCTATCTCTAGCTCTGTATTCAAACTCCTCCAAATGATTATTATGGCCATATATTTACTGGTCATTAGAAGCATGGAAGTATAAGCCCTATCTGCTGGGGTATTCTGAAAGAATAATGAACCATGGAATATCCTTCATTTTCTGCATGTGATTTCTAATACTAAATATATTTTAAAATATTTTCCCTGTATTTCTTATAAAATTTCAGCTACCCTTAAGCTTCTGATTCATTTGTTCCTCAGTTAAATACAAAACTATTAACTGATTCCTATACCCCTGTAGAGATCTGGATACTGACATAGGTAACAGGAAGCAGGAAATATCCCCAAAGCCTCCTTACTTCCTGGTTTACGACATTTGAAATGGAAACTCAGTGCATCTTAGACTGATAGGTCTGGCTGATCTCATATTAATCTTAATAAGAAGTGACATTCTTTCCATGACTCGTTTGAAGAGAACTAGCTTGAACTAGAAGGTTTTTCCATTGGTTCAGATATTTGAACCCTTAGTCACAGTTGGTGGTACTGTTGGGGAAGTTTAGGTGGTCTGTGGTCTGGCTTTGTTGGAAGAAGAATGTATCTGGGTGTGACTCTGAGAGTAAAAGCCTCCTGTCATGCCCTATGCTTGCCCACCCTCCTTCATGCTTCCATGGGATGATGTGAGTGATCAGCTTTCTGTTCCCACCTCCACACCTGCTGCTTTCCACCCGTCTGGGTCATGGCATTTTATCACAACAGAAAAGTAAGGAAGATTATCCTCATTCAGGATTTTCAGGGTTTTCCTTCTTGATAGCTCCCTCACAATGACTCGGGGTGGCCAATAGTCATGCTAAAGATTCTATATCCATTTTTTTCCTTTTTTCCCTATTCTACCCCCACCCCCTCAACTTCCTTTTCCCCCATGACCAACTCTCTTCAGAATAGGGGGAAGAGGGAATCATAGGATCGAATACAGATCAGGCACCAGAGTGACCTCGAATGATCTAAAGGGATAATACCAATTGGCAACCTAAGCAATAGTGGAGAGACCACCTCGAAAGCCCATTCCTGATAATGAACTTGATGTCTATAACAATCCTGGAGCCTTCATCCTGTGACTGATGGAAGCAGAGGCAAACACACAATTAATCACTGAACTGAACCCAAGGAACCCAGTGACAGAGAGAGAGGAGTGATGAGCAAATTGGCAAAGAATGGGCTGGCAAAACCAGCAGAGACAGCTGATCTGAACAGGGGAGAGCTCTTGGATCCCAGACTGACAGTGGGGAGGCCAGCATGGGACTGATCTGGACCCCCCCAAATGTGAGTGTCAGCGAGAAGACTTGGGCAACCTATGGGGCCCTGAGCTGTGGATCAGTGTTTATCCCTGATATACAAACAGTCTTCGTGTGTCTATAGCACAAAGAGGGATGCTCTCTCAGCCTGGACTCTTAGGGGAGTGCCTGGACCCTACCCAGAGTAAAATGACAGACTCTGATATCCCCTATGTGGAAGGATTTGGCAATAGGGTGGGAGGGTGGGGGGAAAGGGGAGTGCGGGAGGAGGGGAGGGAACTGGGATTGACATGTAAAACAAGCTATTTAAAATAAAAAATTGAAAAAAAAATTATTGCAGTTTCATGAAAAAAAGATTCTATATCCCTGTACCTCAGTCCCATGACAGAAAATTGTGTTCTGAATTCAGTTTCCTTCTCATTTAATCTCCGCTGCTGAATGACTACTTTGGATCCTCTACTACAGTAAAAGACATGGTTTGCATATAGACTGAGTCAATATGAGTTAGATTTAAAAGAAATTTCAGGTTTGATAAATTGCTTAATTTACCTGCTTATGATTTGGCGTCAATAATCTCCATATAGCAATGTGGTCCTAATTAGAACTTACACTGCATGTGCTCATATCTTTGTGTTCTTTTCAGAACCACTAGTGGAGAACTCTTAAGCATGGGTTCAACTGACCCAACCTGGCGGATTGACATCACAGCATTAAATGGAAGTGACTACATTCTAACCACATCCTGTAACCCTACGAAATTTACCCTGAATTTTCTTATCATCATTGTTGCCCTGATTGGTGTGGCAGGAAATGCCGTAGTGCTGTGGCTCCTGGGCTTGCGCAGGAACGCCTTCTCCGTCTACATCCTCAACCTGGCTGGGGCCGACTTCCTCTTCCTCTGCGTTAACATTGGACATTCCATTCAGGTTATCATTAGCATATTCCACCCCATCTCCATCTCTAGGTTTTTCAATGTCCTGCTTAACTTTGCCTATCTTGCAGGTCTGAGCATGCTCAGTGCCATTAGCACTGAGCGCTGCCTGTCTGCTCTGTTGCCCATATGGTACCGCTGTCGAAGGCCAAGACACACATCCACTGCCATGTGTGCTCTCCTCTGGACATTGTCTCTAATATTGAGCATCCTGCAAGGGGAGGCATGTGGCAACTTGTTTAATGGTTTTGCTCATGGTTGGTGTAAGAAATTAGATCACATCACTTTTGCTTGGTTAATTGTTTTATTTGTGGTCCTCTCAGGGTCCAGCCTGGCCCTGATGATCAGGGTCTTCTGTGGCTCACACAGGATTCCTGTGACCAGGCTGTATGTGACCATTGCCCTCACAGTGCTGGTCTTCCTGCTCTTTGGTTTGTCCTATGGGATCTACTGGTTTTTCTTAGATTGGAATGATGATATTTACAGTTTTTTCCCTTGTAGTCTTTTTGAAATCTCAGCATTCTTATCCTGTGTTAACAGCTGTGCCAACCCCATCATTTACTTCCTGGTTGGTTCCATTAGGCACTGCAGGTTCCAATGTCAGACTCTGAAGGTGTTTCTGCAGAGAGCCCTGCAGGACACTCCCGAGGAGGAGGAAAGTGCAGAGAGGGCTTCTTCCGGAAAGTCTGGAGAGCTAGAAACAGTCTAGTGCAGCAGCTAGGAGCAGCTGTGATCAGACAGAAGTTGCTTCTGGAGATCACTTTATCTTTATTAGTGTGGATTCTTTCCATAATCTTGTAACTTATTCACCTGACCTTAAATCGGTTGAGTAAATAATCAGTGTTGTGGAACTTGAGTGAGATGGGGCTTGCTAAACAAATACTGACTGTAATATCCCTGACTGTTGTACTCAGGGATCTACCAACTCCTTGTAATGTTAACCTTATCCTAACTCTAGGATCCATGGCTACTCCTACTATTGACAAATCCCGTCTTTAACAGGAGGCTGAAGGAAAGATATGCATTTCTTTTGTCACTAAATTCTAACTGAGTAAATGACTCTTACATTTTGGTTCCATGCCAATGTCTGTTTTCACAGCCTTTGACCAGGCTGCATGTGACCGCTGCCCTCACAGTGCTGGTCTTCCTGCTTTTTGGTTTGTCCTATGGGATCTACTGGTTCCTCTTCATGGGATTGTGAATGTTAACAGCATTTCATCTTGCAATGTGTATGAAGTGAAAGTATTTCTATCTCGTATTAGCAGCTGTATCGTTATATTTGAACTGAATAGGATGCACCATGTCTTGGTCTCCTTGAATTACAGTTGGTATTGAAATGCTTCTACAAATTAATGAATTTCCTAAATAAATCCTTTGGAAAATATCCTAGTTTATTTTTCTGTGTCTTGGTAAAACACTCTGATAAAAAGCAATGGATTAAGAGAAAAGCTTTATCCAGTTCACACTTCTATGTCACAGGACACCATCGAGGGTGTCATGTCAACAATTCAAGCAGGACCTGGAGTAGTGACCACAGAGAACACTGAATCCTGGTTCATTCCCTGTATTAGTCACTCTGCATGCCTTCCTAGCTTTCTCATTCAGCTGAGGAATACCAGATTAGGGATCATGACAGTCACAGAGGACTGGGTCATCCCCCTATAGACAGGATTATAACCCTATCTAATCTAAGTAATTTCCCTGAAGGATGCTTCTCTTCTAATACAACTCTAGGATGTGTCAATCTGACAACTGAAGCTCACCAGGATGCTCCATCCCTTGCCAATTTGACACACCCCATCCCTCTTTGTCCTCAAAATATTATAGTAACGTCATAGCATAAAACATAATTCCACGTTAAACGTCCCATACTCTTTAAAACTTCCAATGCTTTAAAATTTCAATGTATATTTAAAAGTCCAACATCTGAGCACACTCAAAGTAGACTGTCATCCCATAACTCCATCTCTAAGCCTTGGTTAGCATCCCAGGGACATGTCCTTCCTCTTCTTTCCCCCTCCTTTGTCCTATTATCTTGGGTATTCAAGTACCTCATGGCAAGTTTGAATAATGATAACTAGACTCTTCCTGCTATGATAATTTTTGTCACATCTGGTAAGGAACTCTAAGTATTTATTTGTGTTTGCATGATTTATGTGGATCTCAATTATGCTTTCCAGCATACTATATTAATTTTAAATATTACATTGGATAATTTCACATAAGAGAGAGCAATCTGCATACTTTGTTTGAAGGAAGATGACTGATTGCAAACCCAATCAAAATATAGGGTTCTTTTTAAAACTATGTGGCTTCCCATTGCCTTCCTAAGCATTTTCCCTTGCATCAGATGTGTATATTATTCCCATTTATTTTTTTTAAAATGAGAAGAATATGAGGTTGTAGAGATCAAACGATAATTAGACACAGTAGCCGCTCTTGCGGGTGTTTGCAGATTCTCAGTCTCATTCCTAGAATGACTGTGAGACAGCTTTCAATCACATGTAACTTTCTATCTTCCGGGAATTCACTAATATTCTGGTCTCTGCAGGCAGTAATATGCACTGTAGCATACAGTCACATATACATAAAGCAAGGGGAACACTCCTCCAGTGCTGGTGAGAGTGCAAGCTTATACCGTCACTTTGGGAATCAATGTGGTTGTTTCTCAGAAAGTTGGGAATTGATCTGTCTCAGGATTCAGCTATACCACTTTTGGGCGTATACTCAAATAAGGCTCAGTTATATCTAAGTACCACTTGTTCAACTATGTTCATAGCAACTTTTAAAATTATTATTCTTTTAAAAATTTTCTTTCATTCCTTCCCTCTTCTCTTCCCAGTCCCCACCCACAACCCCTCTTCCCACATCCACCCTCCCATGGATATCAACAAGCCATGGCATATAATGTTGCAGTAAGACTAAGCACCTCCTCGCCTATTAAGACTAGATGAGGCAACTCAGGATGAGAAAAGGGTCCCAAAAGCAGACAGCAAAGTCAAAGACAGCCCCTGCTCCCTCTATAAGGACTACCACAAGAAGACCAAGCTACACAACTGTAACAGATTTTCAGAGGGTCTAGGTCAGTCCCATGCCTGCTACCTCTCTGCAGAGAAGAGTACAATTTCTTGTTTGTCTCTGCTTTATTCTGATTCTGCCCAGCTATGTCACTTCCTGGGATCACATGACAATTCCTCTCTGCCTACACTTCCCAGAATCTTCCTAATATCCTAGTTCTACCTATAATCCTGCCTGGCCAATCAGTTTTTTATTAATCTACCAATAACACAAACATATATACAGAACATTCCCCATCAGCAGAATAGCATTAGAAATAATTTCATTGACTTTTTTTCTTTTTTTGCATGTCATGTTTGATTCTATCCCAGGTCACTAGGATTTCTAGCTTCTGGTTCCTGGCACTCCAGGAAGTGTCAGCAGTTGGATTCTTCTCACAGTATAAGTCTCAAACTGGACCAGTTATTGGGTGGCCACTCAAAGAATTTCTGTGCCACCTTTGTCCCAGCATATCTTGTAGGCAGGTAAAATTGTAGGTCAGAGATTATGTGTCTGGGTTGGGGTCTCAATCCTACCACTCATTGCAGAGATGCCCTGTTTCCAGTTGTCTTTCCCAGTACTCTCTCCCTCCATCTTCTCCAAACTGATCCCTCCTGTTCCCATGCCTGCCCATCCATGTATACCTCTCCACCATCTATCCATGACATCTATTCCATTTTCCCTTCAGTGATATTCATGTATGCCACTCCATTCTTCTTTAGGGTCTGTGGATTGTAGCATGGCTCTATTTTACAGCTAATATCCACCTATAAACGAGTACATACCGTGTTTGCCTTTCTGCATCCTGGTTAACTCACTTTTTCAAGTTCCATCCATTTGGTGGCAAATTTCATGACGTTACTGCTTTTAACATCTGAGTACAGCTCCATTGTGTCAATGTACCATATTTTCTTTATCCATTTTTGGCTGAAGTACATCTAGGTTGTTTCCAGTTCTGGTTATTATGAATAAAACTGTTACATAGTTCTGCAAGTTCCTTTGTGGTATGTTAAAGCAACCTTTGGGTATATGTCAGCTCATCCCTGATACTATCTGGAGCACCAGGACCCAGGAGCTGGATTGTCAACAGACTCAGACCTAGTATAGAACCAAACACAATTGGAAAAATGTCAGTGTAATGATTCCTAGTGATATCAGTTCAGCTATACTCAAAGATTGGTGATTGGCCAATTGTCATCAAAGAGCCTTCATCTAACAACTTATGAAAACAGATGCAAAGACCCACACCCAAACATTAGGCTGAGCTCAGGGAATCATGCTAAACAGACGTAGGAAGGATTGTAGGAATCAGAGGGGCCAGGATATCACAGAAAATCCACAGTCAAGTAACCTGGGCTCATAGGATCTCACTGAGACTGAAGAGACTACCATGGAGCCTAAACAGGACTGACAAAGGCCCTCTAAGTATATTTGACAGATATGTAGGTTGATGTTCTTGTGGGACTTCTAACAGTGGGAGCAGGTTTTGAGGATTCTATTCCTCATACTCAGTTGTCTTGCCCAGCCTTAATATAAAGGGAGGTACTTAGTCTTACTGCAACTTGATAGGACAAAGTTTTAGTTGATACTCATGGGAGACTTGAGCTTTCCTGACAAGAAAGGGAGGAGGAGTGGATGGGGACAAGGTAGGTGAAGGAAGGGGCTGGAAGGAGAAGAGTGAGGGCAAACAAGGGTTGGGACACAAAATAAATAAAGACTTAAAAATAGAATCTTAAAATTGACAAAAATAGAATCCTAATAACTGCATAGTGCAAACTGAAAAAATATATCAAGGTTTTATGAGATAGTTATGTGTTACAATGGTGGGGATCCTGGAACTCTCAGCCACATGTTATGAATAGACAGTCACTGGTGGGGAAAGGGCTGGGAAACCCTAATTCTCACAGGGAGAGAGACAGGAGGAAGGAGGCAGCAGTACCTGAGAAGCCACCACAGGGCTTGGGTGACCCAAATCCAGTTCAATGGACTTTGACAAAAGCAGAAACATTCATTTGTTCACAGACTCACATGCATGTTAGCATTGATACTCTAAAGCCATCTGGTAGCCTCTCATTTCCTACCATGTCTCTTTGCTAACACCAACATTTTTATTCTCGTCACTGTAGAGCAATAGTTCTCAACCTTCTTAATGCTGTAACTTTTAATAGAGTTCCTCATGTTGTGGTGACCCCAACCATAAAATTGTTTTGTTGCTACTTCATAACTGTAATCTTGCTACCATTACAAATGATAACTTAAATATCTGATATGGAGGATATCTGGTATGCAGCACCCAAAGGAGTTCAACTCACAAGTTGTGAACCACTGCTATACAGTTTCGTCTCCTAGCCCTTTGTTTCATTGAAAGAATCCAGGCTCTAGTAGACCAACCTCATTCAGTTGTTGTTTAGGCTTCTTGCATGCATGGCTTCCCATAGTGAGTTCATTTATTATTGATAATAAAGTTTCCTTTACATAGATCTTCCATTGCTTACTTATCCACTTACCTATAAAGATACTTTTGGCCTCTTCGAGATGTGGCAAAGGAATTAAGAGCTGGTACCTTTGAAAATAATGCTTCTGAGGTACCAACGATTGATCCCAGGGCCTTATACATGCCAGGTAAGGCTCTAGGTAAGGCTCTGCCAATGA